GCATAACAAATCCTGGATCGTTCATTACAGCAGTGCACCGGTCCACACCTCACTACGCGTACAATAGTTTTTATAAAAACACCCTATATATGTGTAGCCCCACACCTTTAGTTTATCAGGCCTAGGCATCAGCAAGTTTCTCCTATTCCGAATACTAAAGAAAAATGTTTCGGTAAAACATAAAAAGAAATAAAAGAAAAATTGTAGACCAAGCTAAAGGCTATTTCATCAATCGGATTTGAAAAGTGCTTTTGAGGGTTAGAAAAAACCGTAGCATAATGAATTGCATTTGCCTCGAGGGAGATCACTGAAACTAAATACTTATCAATCTAGAACAAACGACTCAATTCACTTTTGAGTAGTAAAGGTTAATTCAACCTATTACTTGCCTACAATTTTACTGTAAAACAGCAAATGAAACACCGCAATATTAAACTTTGCCGATGAAGGTTTAACAACCAATAAGCTTTAGCCTGGCAGTTAATTTTACTGGAATCAAACATTTGAAAAATTCAGTTGAACGGCATTTACTGTGGAAATAAAATTGGTAGCCCTCAGACCGACGCGTACACCTCACGTTCAATCTCTGATAAGCATACATATCAATCAGGAACACCAGTTTCAATGACCTCTCATTCAAGCGTGCTTCTCATAGCTTTTGTACGCGGGAAACATATCATAAATCATTACGGGTAAACAAAATTTGCTATCAAATTAAATATTAATAGAAGTTCGACATTGAATAACGTTTCGTCGTAATTAGTATTATTGGCGACAGCAGTTGACACTGGTGTCTTTACGACGGGTCGCCTGTCGATGAGGACCCATGTCATCAGCGCATGATCCATACTTTTGGTGATTCTTTTGTAGACCATAGTTGGTCTGTTGAAAACCAACTAACGATACACGAGTGCAATGGTCATTTTCACTAGTAGGCCAGTCATGCCCCGTCTACTTATAACCATTAAGAACCACAGCCATTCAGTTCCAGAGGGCATCGTATCCACAATGCTCGGTCATTCGAGTTTAAGGTTGCTTTGCCACACTGCCACCCCGTCACCGCATCGTTTCCGATCCTGCCCCAGCTCTCTCCCCAAGCAGCCGGAACACTTTTCTATCTTGCCATTGGGATCATCGTCGTCGTCGCTCAGCGTCCATTCCTGTTTCGAGCATCGATCACCAAGCGGTATCATCCGTATTCTGTATGCTAAGCGCAACCTACAGGACGGAAAAAGCGTCGCGCACAACGCCTTCCGCGTCTGTCCATTGACATCCGGTGCGTGTGGCTGGATGTATTGTGGTGTCTCCGTAGCGGATATTTTGCAGTGGTGGTAAAGCTGTTGGCAGCAATAGCAGCAACAAGCGCTGGCGGGAAGAACCATTAGCACTTTATTATGGTGCTGACAACTCGGTATACGATGGACATCTGGACGATGAAGGGGTTCCGGTGTTGGAAGCTTCAGTTTTTTTTTCCCGTTCGGATTGTGGGAAGAAGTGTGCAGCGGAGAACCTCCTAAGGATGCTCAAGGCCGACAGTGGGGAAGACTGCAGCAGCATACCCTCTCCTACCCCATTCGGCGCCCGTGCGCCTGTCCTTTTTGTTACTGTTGTAAGGTCTAGCCTTACGTCACTTCTTCACGAGGAGAATTCACTCCCCTTAAAGCCCTTGACAACTGGAAACCGGAAATAGCGCCCAATGTCGTCAGGCCAAATGAGCCGGCTGGACACCGCCCGAGCAACAAGAGGGCGATAGAGCTGTTTCCTTTGAGGCAATTCGCCACCCAGGCTTCGAAATATGCCACTGACTTTCAATTTCTACTACAATATCCAGCATATATATATGGTGAACGTTACTGGACAAATTCTATTCAAACTTACATGCATCAGAAATATTACACTTAAGACTGACTACAAAATATCGGAAAGGAACGATATTATTCATCGTAGTTAGGTTTGAGCTAATCTTCACATGGATTAAGGAACTTCTCAATTCTTTCAAGCGAAGCATACAAACGTACATTTATATATACTATAGATATTTATAAAAACACACATACTTTACTGCATGGTAGGCAAAACTTTAAGAGTAAATGGTACAAAAGGAGATCAAGGTATTCGTCGCTTGGGATATTCTTAAGCAATTACTGGGAACATTTTGAAAACAAGCTAATGAGTAATATAGTTATTAGCAATATAGTAGTATCTTTGTTTTTAAGTTTTAGGTATGCTTTAGCTGAAGCTAGCTGACCCACCTAACTAAGGAAGTATCTTATAACTTCAAAGTGGCGCGCATCGAACAAATGTCCTATATATTTGATATTTCCGTTTCAATATAAGGCAATATATCAATGTTGAAACAGTTGATCCTTAGTAGACGACGATAGCTTGATAGATTTACCACCCCGCCCCTTCTCCATCGTTAAGATTCAAAGTATGTATATATGCGACGATATTAAGTTTATTATTATGCGTGGCGGTGCGGCTTCGTGTGAGTATTGCTTGAGTATGGAGTAGGTTTAAGTTACGAAAGAAAGCAAGTGTAAAATAACATAGGACGATAGAGTGTATACAGCAAACGGTAAATGGCGCGGTGTGGAAGGAGCAAGTGTGAGGCAGATAAGCACGCGAGACAAGGGAAGGCAATGGTTGCCGCTATCCCCGCTACCAAAACCACCAGCGCAAGTCAAGCATCGATGCATAGGAGAGAGCTATCGCTGAACAATGAACACTGAAGCATGCCGCCTCACAGTGAAGCGACCTGCTTCGATAGTCCATCCCAGATGCAGGTGGGAGCTAACAAGAGGCGAAACCTTGGTCGGTTAAGTATTGGTTTCCCACCACTCCAGTTTCCCTGACGTTATATATATATGGAATCTGCATATATGGGCCTCCATAGGCGGAAGCCACCAGAGAAGGAACGCCCGCCCAAATGATGCGCATTTGTGACCCATGTAAGCAGCCCTCCGTGCTCTTTCTCTCCTTCTCACTCTTACATAGTCACTCTTATTTTCTCATGCTGTTTCCTAGATACCATATAACCTTCACAAAGGCAGTAGCTAAAGCTGTAGGCGTTATATCTAGCTTTGTCTAGCACAGGTCTAACGAGGTTCGATAAACAACTTAAATTCAGCTTACCCGGTTTCGTTAGCAAATTAGCACAAAGTGCCTCTCGACCTATTAAGTTTTTTGCCTACAGACTTGCGGATTTTCGTCTTGTCATGCGTGCAGTGCAAAGTCTGTTCAATTGCTCTATACCCTAGAGATATGCTAAAGGATGGCAAGTAGAGCAACTCTGCGTTAAAACTTCGAAACATTCGATTCTCACTATATAGGCTAGCTGCTGTTGTAATTTTCAGTTCTGAGATCTGGGTCTGGTACCTATATCGCCCCAGAAATAAAAAAGAATTGGGGATAAGTTGCTGATGTCCAATTAATCAAAATCAAGAGATGCTTTTTTTAGGATATTAAATAAGGTCTGTAGTTTTTCGTACAACAAACGAACGAACAATATTTTCTTTGAAGTTTGTCAGATTAAAACCCAAACTAGAATAGATGGTGCCATAAAATCGTGAAAAGTTCTACTAAATATTCAACTTAACTAGTGTCGGTTGTTATATGAGACGAGAAGAGTAGGCTTGAATTTCGCGACATTATTACAGGCAAATATTTCAAGTCTCTAGGTATTTACGAAATTCTGTAAAACTAAATTATATTGGTTTTGCACTTTATGTGGATTTTATATGGACTTGACTGTAATAAATTAAATCTGGGTCTCAAAAGTCGTTTTTCATAGCTCAAGTATAATATCGATAGTCTCATCGTAGTATTCTTGTGCAGTAAAACGCGCTCCACTTTGACTTTGTGAATCATAGTACACAGAGCATATATTTATGTTATAAATGTATAATGCCTTTTTGGGAACCAGTTAATATTTGAAATACGCACAATCGAGTGTCATAATCTGCCTTTGCACTCCCAGTCATCAGAAGCGTTACACCGATCCACGCATCAGTCTTCAATGATCTATTAACTGCAATTATTCAGTGCGTCAATAATACAGTATAAAAGCAGGATAAAAATAACAGTACTCGAAATAGCGAAATACTATGTCATATAGGAGAAAATATCTCATTACTGAAGTGTGCTCCACTGTGTGGCGCGATGTTTTCAATATTTGCGTCACCCTTAACCATTGCCCATGCTACTTCAAACTTAGCTCTAGTTCATATGATCATAACATGATGTTACAATTTTTTCCACAAGTATTGGCTGCTTCAGGGTATCTTGAAAGCGTATTCAGTTTGATTTAATGCTACGAAATGAAGGATTTCTCAGACAAGCATTTTTATGACAATGCTGTATTTTTGTAACAATGAGTAATTTGGTTAGGTAATATCAAGTGCTTACTTCCAGGGAAACGTCCACAAGCTAAAATAAACATACTTCAACACTGAAAAGGAGCATTCCACCTTTAAGGCTCTGCACGGAGAAACTTTCAGCCTATATGTATGGCTCTAAATCTACATTGGTTTACTCGAAAGCTGGCTTCGTATTCATATGTAGGATGTAGACTTTTTTCACTTGAACTACATTTAGACCCAACTTTTGGAATTCTCGGTTTACCCGTTTCGCAGAATAGGTTAATGGATTTTCGAGAATACTATAAAATAAAAAAATATACAAGTCAACATCGAAAAAATCTAAAAAACTTTAAATAAAGATTTTAATGCAATGATTGGTATCATACATGCTATTTTCAAACTTTACATTGAATGTAGGTGCTAATCGCATCAATTCATACCAATGTAATACACATTTGAGCTAATCAAAACAATTTGTCTACCAACTTGTATTGACAATTCTATAAATTGTCCCTGCAAATTAACTTTCTACATTCTTCTACATGTTTATGAGTCATATGACAGTATTTCTTAATGAAAGTACGCCTACCTCATTCAGTATTGTTTTTTCTTTCTGAAATAAATGAATGCCCAATGCAGTCGGGATTTCTGTCAATTGAGCAAACTTTTATTTAATTATCACCTCTTTCCTGTGATTTTTAAAGCAGCTCAAAAATCAATAACGTGCGAGAAAGGTCCCATCGATGAATCCATTTTGAGAACTTGTCGATTGCCATACGTTCCACTACGAACACATGGCCTCGACGTCTCATCTGAAATACACATGCCCTATTAATAGAAGATTCATAAATAGAGCCGAAAAAAGCATTATGCATATATATCGTCGACCACTAAGAAAACCTCACTTTACATCACTCAAAAACCAGCGATAACCACTCAGCTACATATCTACGTAGTACGGACTTACAATATATTGGACGTAGAAAACGACAGTCAAACAATAATTATAACAAATATCCGATTGCCCGGCCATATCCTACCTGTAGAAATGAAAATGCTCATATCAACAGTACGTCACTTCAACAATGTTATGATGATGTAGTTATTTTAAGGGCAACAAAAATATTAGTGCAGCGAAAACAAATGATGCTGCATATATGGAAATAATAGTAGATACATAATATGATTGACATATATAAGGTTATTTCATCATACGTTTACTACTATTCATTTAATACTAAAACTGATTATGACGGCAAAGGGTTCTCTTGAAGATCCAAGTTAGCCCCAAAATCGTACATCTGCTAGTACATGCACATAGGAAATTATTCACCTGCCACTGCCGTGACTTTCGGGCAAGACGAAAGGTGTTTTTGGAGCTCTGATTCCATAATCTGTAATATTTACATATATGCAGGAATCAAACTATTAACTAAAAACTCAGCTCCGTATATGACAAAAATCTTGAGTTGCCAAGAGTTATTGAAAAAGTGTATCGTATTTAGAAGTTGCTGAGTGACACAATAAGTAAGTGCATCTAATCGGCTTTGATGATTGAGACTGTAGTGCACTTACGATATTTAGTAGGACACATCAGGCTGATGAGAAGGATAGCGCCTTTATATGAACATGCATGCAAGCTGATTAAGACTCAAGGCACAACCTGATCTTTTATGCTGTCGTGCAAAAAATGAGAAGAAAACCTAAAATATTTGTTCACCTTAAAAAGAACCTCTCCTTTATTTTTTTCTATTAACTGGTGATACTGCACCGCATTGTTCTTCCGCTTCCCTCCAAGGCAGGCTTGAGGGATTAACAAGACGCTGCCCGGAAGATCCAACACAGATATTAGTTTACCTGTTATGAGAAGCACGAAAGTGCAGATTGGACTTAGCTCGCATTATAAACCATGTATGATTATGGATGTATATGCAACTATCCATTATCCTCAAGTTGTAAACTACTCTTTGAAGTAAGTACACACTAGAATATTAGTATTACCGAAAGTCGTTTTCTTTTCGTGTATTAACACAGCGGGTTAAACCGCCGAACTTTGCTCACGCTTTAAATACAGGGTGGGCTTTATATGACGGAACGCTAGCTTAACGCCAAATAGGTTATTTTTTTATATTTAAGCTAACTTCCAAAACTCGAAAAAAATATCCACGACAACCGCTATACATGTGCAAACAGTCTTAAAGTTGTTTAATAGTAAACATATAATACATTGCTTAAACAATCTAGCAGTGTTACTGCTTGTCTCAGTAAATAGGGAGAGCACGCATAGGTTAGCTTAAACGTTTCGTATTTTTTCGAAAAATATTTTACGGCAATAAGCTATTCGGCATTGCTTTAGATCGGCGATTCTCAGTGTAAAATGAAGTGTGTCCATGCCTCACTTTAACGTGGATTAGCAGTAACCATCTAATTCAGCTCTGATTTTTTTGTGAAAGATCTATAGACGATTTTAAAATCGCTCAAAACCCATCCGTCAAGGCATGTGCTAAATGTTGATGTGTTTTTATGTCTGCATTGAGCTCACCGTCGTGGTTTTCCGAGAGTTTTATTTTAAGAATACTCTGTGCAGCCCTTCGCACTACATCCTCGGTAGCACCAGCGAAGAACGATACAAAGACGACAATGCCACGATCAATTTTCACCTAATTATCAACATAACAGACATGAAAATTTTATTTCATGTGTAGATTATACACGGCATATAAACTGCAAAACGCAGTATTTATGTATAGCTAAACAAAAATATCATATTGCTTAAGCAATTAAGGTTACTATAAATCAAAGGCCTGTTAGCCTGTAATCACTTAGTGGAATGCAGTTTTTGTGGAGAAATTGACTGGCAGATGCATATTTTGTTCGTGCTTAACAATTGCAAGTTTTCAATGCAATTAGCAACAAGGAGACATACAAAATTAACTTAAAATAGTTTAATAAAATAAACAAAAAAGTCTGCTGTAGCAACGAAATGCTAAGTCAAAAAAAAAAGGCACAGTTCCTTAGGATAAACCTAAAACACACATAAATTTCATTCTTAACTTGTGGTAATTTTCTTGACGGCCATGTTAATCTTATGATACTACGCCTGTTGCAACGCGGTGCAGTCTTTTTTTTACTAATGACTAGCATGCTCAGCAGTAAGCATGAAAAAAATATTTCAGTATCAGAAATTTGAAGCCGTGGCGTCTGATGCTGAATTACAAAAATACAGTTACTGTATTACTAACAAAGCAGTACGGCACACAAGCCATGTCAGAAAAGTGATGATGCCTCAAAATGACAGAAAGATTAACCCTTTGACGCTTGAGAAAATGCCCTGATTTTTAGGCTCTAAAAACTTATCTTACTAGAAAGTAGGATTAGAATACAGCTACTTAGATAACTAAAGAATCAAAATCGTTTAACTGTGCAGTACAGCAGTAAAGATTTGAACTCATAAAACCTGCGAAGGTAAGTAAGTAATTTCAAAAATTATTTCTCGCGTATCGAATTAAAATGTTCTGAACATAATAATTTATATCTACTACGATTACTAAATCACCAATAGATATCCAGTCATAATTAGTAAAAAAAACGTTATTACTCTATATGATATCATATTAGCCACGAATCAGAAAATTAGTCCTTAAAGTTGCTCGAGTCTCCTTGTTCTTCATCGAATATCCTATAGGCATTCATGTTGCATCATTTGTCTGTTTGATTGTAATAATTAAATATTTACATATATTTTCAAAAGCTCCCGAAATCTTCAAGAAAGTGATACCTAGATATTTCTGTATTTTTTAGCTTTTCAATTTTAAAATCTTATATTACTTCAAGACAACTAAAAACGAAGTGTGAAGTTATGAGTAGTAAGATAATAAAAAACATTTGCTACCGTTCTATTCTGTACATTATGACAGAGTTAAATCGATCATACATGAGACGTATCTTTGTAGCGTAACGGCTTATGTGGAAATACTATACATCTATTACAAAAAGACTGAGGGGTAAGTAAATACTTTGTTTTGTAGCCTCCTGAAATAAGTATTTGCCATACACACAGAATTTTGTTCTTACACTACAACAGCAAATGTATTGACGATGCACGCACCAAATTGGCATCATCTATATGCAGCTCTGCTTGCACGCACTGTTGGATGAGAACGCGACACTGTGGACCCTTCGGCGGGGCGTTATTGTCTTCCGTAGCCGACATGAAGGCGTCGAGTACTAATTAGCGTGACGTATCCTGCCTATCAAGATTTACCGTTCTATTGGGCACAGCCGACTCTGTAAGGTGAACTGCTATTTACATTCTGTAAGCCCTAGAAGATCTGATGCAATATGTTACTTCTTTCGATAGATTCACTAGTGCGCACTGTTAAACATTTTGAAACAAGTATCAGTCACGAATAAACAAAAAGCAAAGAGACCCTATATGGATTTCTGGAACATCTCTTTCCAAGCAAGGAGCTCAATAAATGTATCGATATACAATATCGACCTACTTTTGCATTCAACTATGTTGAAATTTCTGATGCTGCTGAACCCGCACATTAGCTTTCACTGATACGGCAAATAGGATTTATTTGCCACATCATTGCCCTTACGAAAATCTTTAGTTCGTAATTTCCATAGCCCATTCTAATAGAGCAGTTTGCTTCGAAATTAAATTTGACAAAAAGAACAGTTACTTCAAATGAAACTTAACGGCCTCCACCCAATCACGTAAAAGAATATCAGTTCGTCATTTGGCCTTTAGTTTAGCTTTATAGTTAACTGACATGTTTTAGTATCAGTAATTCCCGACAACGTTTCCATTCATTACCTCCATGGCTTGAGCGAGTTCACAATCTTCAGGAGATACAGGTTCGGCCTTGATAATGGTAACAGCGTTTCGAATTCTTATAAACTCGAAAGTATACGCGTGTACCAATAGAATAATCACGTATGATTTTTAGAAACGAGCAATAGATATTCTGCATGAAGTTAAGCTCATCAGATATATATAGTCCTATAACATATTCGGAAAAAGTAAATTAGAAGTGTGCGTTTCTTTATACTTGTTAATCACATTATCCTCCATTAAGTTTTCAATCAATGCGAGAGTTGAATGTTTATAGTGTATCGTTTTACTAAATTTTTACAGTTTTAGTACATCGATGTACCGCCAGAAACGTGTATTTCTTTTATATATTCGTAAAGGTCAGACTGCCACGGAGACTGCTCTTTTCATTTCAATTAGCTTTCTAATATTTTTCAAATTTTTACCTATTACCTTCTCCGCAACATCGAAACTTAGCTATATACGTAACTTATGTACTGATATTTTTCAAACGACAGGAGCAGACTCAATAACACGTGTACAGTTTTTTCACGCCCACAACATCGAATACGAAAACCACCAATCACAAAAGACCAAAACCAGCGTCAGGGACAAAATGCCAGGCACTCCGCTTTTTATTTGTTCGAGCACTGAGGCACATCACAAATTCTGTGCAATCATTAACATTACATATAAGTTAACCCCAGACCCTATGCACAATATTCATTATTACCGATGCTCACTTAATCGAACGCCCTACAACCCGCGTAATATTCTGCAAAACATATTTGGCTACTACACATGGTTGGCCTACCTAACATCTACCATGAATATTCAGATGAAGAGCAATCATTCTAAACGAAAGTTTCAATGGAAATTTCTAGTGCAGCAACGGGCAACGCCAAGTCAAAGTTAGCCAGCACAATCGGGTGCAGAACGCCCAAGAAGCCCACCGATTCGCCGTTGACAAAGACCTGGGCACAACGACCCGGAAGGAACATGCTGTCGTTGGCAGGTTTAATTTCGTAGATCATTTTTCGTTTAGTCTGTTGCGACACATGTGGCACACTTAACAGGCACATAATCCTATCGAGGAGACCATGTATTAGTTCAAATCCAGACGTTTTGCCATAGTTGACAGCACAAAGGTTGCGCTGATTCTTAGCTCCCACATCAGCTTCCGTAGACTTTTTGACGACATCGGATATTTCAAATAACCGAAGTGGCAAAGGCAGCTTCTTATTGCAGTTCAGTGTTTTCAGTAGACCAGGTAACAACTGTGTACGGACAACCTGGAATTCATAGGTCTTCGGATTAGAAACGTGAACCGCCTCCGTACACCCAACAGGATGCAAAATCTTAACAGAAATGTCGTCACGGGCACAAAGTGAAAATGTTAATGCTTCTGTGTACCCACTCTGAGCGAGATTTTCTCGTAACTGATCGGATAATTTATTGACAGGAAGCTGTCCGGCTATAGTTGATGTAGGGGGCATTCGTCGTTCGATGTTGTTGTACCCATATGCTATACCAACATCCTCAATCAGATCGACAGGATGAATTATGTCATGACGAGTCGGAGGAATAGTTACTCTTAAGTTGCCTTTCTTTTTGGTAACCTTGGTTTGTAAAGACATGGTCGATAACAAATCCGCAATTTGCTTCGTTTCTAATTTCGTTCCTAGCATTCGGTTAACACGCTGAGGGCATAACAGTAACTCCCGATATGGCAGTTTAGGATATAGGGAACTTGAACCGTCAGGTCGAATGCAGTTAACTTGTTCAATTTTGTACTGGTCGTCACAATACTCAGAGAACATTGTGACAAGTGTGTCGAGTACGATGGAAGCTTTATGTTCATCTAATGCCGTTATGTCAATAAACACGTTCTTTGTATTCAACGTAATCTTCGTATGTTGTGAGTTGATAATCGGCGGCATAGAACAAACAACACCATTTGCATCCATAACGACGGGAAACACCGGGGAATCTTGAATGATTGGTAAATAAAAACGAAGGTGAGAATCCTTGCTATAAAGATCCAAAAGTTGATCGCCTGTATATTCTTTTGTCTGATTCAGAGGAATAAATTTAATCTGGTTAGGAGGTAAGGCGTCGTACCTCAATGGAGCTTGAATTGTGTCTAGGTCATGCGTTCCGATAGAAACCAGTTGTCTTTTGCGTCCAATATTATGGTGTAACTTGTCCTGTAAATCGATGAAAGAGTCGTAAACCCCCTTCGTAAATGTAATATTTCGAAGGACGGCACCGATGAAGAATGGACGAATTAGCTTCGTATTCTCTGTGATCACAACATCGAGCGGAGCAGCAAGGGTGATCAGCTCATATCGAGGTATGCAAATCTTACCTTGGAAAATTAACAGAGATCTTACCAATCCCTCAAGGCACAACAAGTCATATCGGTTGGCCGGGACGTCAATTTTATATATGGTATCGTCCGAGACATCTACATCTCCAGCGGCAGCTTCACCCCTCTCCTTGGCCAATAATCTCTTCGCAGAGGTTACCTCATCTAGTTCGAGCCCGTAGTCGAAGCAAAGATCTGCAAACTCTTTTTCACTATAACGCCGGCCTAATGCCGTAAAGAGTAGCTCGGCGTTTACACCGACCGTCGGCATTTTTGTTACTTGACTTGAATCAATCTTAGAGAAACACACAGCCTGTTTCACAGAAAAACCTCTAAAGACCTTTTGTAATTTGTTAAACCTAGATTTCCTACATAAGCACCTGGGTTATCAGATCTCCTGACGCAACAGCAAATCACTAAGAGATTTGCTCCACGTTTCGAGAGAACGGTGCATCCGCGGTAAATGGCGACTCGATTCAAAATACAGGTAAACTTCAAATCGGTATTAGTTGGTACAATGATTTTAGGAAATTTAAGCACTATGTCAATCCTATTTGATTTTCTTATGAATCTATATGTATTTCTGTCGAAATAACAACAGCACTAGATGCCTAGTATCTTTTTTTGATACAGAATCTTATACACGCCCTCTCATCGCTAGCAACCGTATCATACAATGTAAACAATCAGACTACTTGAGAGTGAGGCTCCCAAATGAGTTGACAGGTGTTAAGAACTCTGTTATGTTTCAGATTAATAATGATCAATAATATATAACGAAATTCGCGTTGTAAGCCAGCAAGTTTCCTTGAAGTTCAAGTCACCTTAGCATTGTTTTCGGCAATGGGCTTTATACATTTTCCTACGCAACTCACCGAAGAAGAACAAGCTCTTAAAAGCAAATACGCCAAGCTTAAACGCAAAAGGAAACAGGTACAAGGACTACCGTACAAGTAGCTATCCAAAAACGTTTAACGCAGCACAAGTATATTCATTAAGTACGAAAGCCTTCAAAATAGTGAGTGGGCTTATTTGGGCGTTCCTTGTGATAAAAAAAACTTCACTAATGTAACTTACGACTTTATTATAAGTGGATATATTTGCTTCGAATAAGGTATTAACGATAAGAATATTTGATTTAATAGAAAATATTTCGTAAGTGAAAAAATATATGGATTGTAAAGGGTAACTGCACGATGAAATACACGTCTTTTTACTTGTATAAGACTAATGATATTTGTTAATGCACCACTGGATATATACCGTGGTGTATAGTTTAACATCTATTTAGAAAGCTGTACTTGGCTTATTAAGCAAGTTTATTCGGTCATAACTTTTATAATGGTAAAACTTTACAAGAAAGTATTTTCTGATTTAGTTGAAGCCACAGCCAAGTAAGGAACAAGAGCAAAAGGAACAAGCTGACAAAATACTCGCCTCGATTGCTGCCAACAAACGAAAATCTCAAGAAGGTTTGAAGTCTTTTTTCAAGATCTGCAACGTAATTTTCAATTCATAATAATTCTGTTATTTATAACGGAGTTGCATTAGAAATAATATATTGAACTGAAAAATATACAGCAGATAAGCTCGTTAAATAACTGTGTGAAAACTTCATTCGCGTTCTTCAGCACTCACTATTAATTCGGTTTTGTAGGAATCGCCAAGCCGGACACAAAGGAGCTTGCTAAGAAGCTACTGAAGTCAGGTGCTATTAAGCCAATTAAATCCGAACCTGCCGAAAAGACCGTTTTCAAAAGGAGTAAAGGAGCTGGTCGCAAAAGAAATATTATTGGATCGGAAGTGGGGTATGTAGTAAACATTATTGAACTTTTTAGTAGAATAAAAGTTAGATTATCTTGATCTACGCTTAACATTTTCGTTCGGTTTCAGTTCGGTTACAGAAAAAGCTGGAGTTCGTTCCGATAAAGATGCTCATAATGTACTTGTTCTATTTTTGCAGCTATCAGCCTTTCTCAGAACCAGGATCAAAAGGAGGCGATTCAAGGGGCCCGAATTCGAAAGTTGGCGCCCTGGATCAAGATGATCCAGCCCTTCTGGCAGAAAAGGAATTCAATCCAGATGCACCAGCGGCCACTCCATCGGCACCTCGAAAGGGAAACACAGTCTACCTCCATGCTCAGGGTAAGAGTAAAAGTTGACATAAAAATAAGGAAGTAATTGTTTGAATAAAATTCGGATAGGTGCTATGAGTAAACGTTACAGCATCAAAGATTAATTTGATTAAATCATGTAGCTTTAATAATGTTAAATTATATGGTTTTAGTTAAATTTAAACAATATAGTTTTAATTAAATTTAAACCATATAGTTTTAATTCTCTCATAGAACAATCACTAGTTTGTCATAAACTTGCAGGCATGACTGAGACGTTAGCGCGAAAGGCATGCGCGTCGCATGGGGGTTCGATCGCACACATTTCGGTCGAGGAAAACAAAAGCTGTGCATTCGTTACATTCGAGAATTATGAGGCTGCGGAGAAAGTCATTCAAGCTCTTGATGGAAACTTTGTTCTCGGCCTTACCTTCAAGGTAAGTTAGTATATATTTCTTTACACATTTATCCACAATTAAACTTTTCAATGAATTCAATTTGCTTAACGTTACAAGTTATACTTCACCCATATTATGCTAAATCGGACCATTGTATGCTGAATACTTATTAACCTATTTACTAAGATTTTTTTTTTACTAAGTTTTTCACCTAACAAAGAAAAGTATCGTATCAACCTAATAACAGGTAGGAAAAAAGTCGACTTAGTATTCGCGGTTATTCCTCACGACTTCTCCTATATTTTAACCAATTTGCTTTTCTTCTCACCAAAAATGACTAATTCTCGTGTTTAAAAACTCGCTCGGTCAGTTGTTGAGATTATCTTCACTGTTATACTGTTACGAATTTTATTTACCAGCGATAAGAAAAGGTGGCAGTCTGGCGCCAAATATATAGTATGGCGGATGGAAAAGAAGCTACCATTAAGGCACCTGTAGAGTGGCTTTAACGAACCTTGCGATGTGCAGAATTAAGATTGAATCCTGTGCTCACAAGCGTATCACTTAGAGCTCTCTACTCCATATTTATATAGAAACACCAGGTTTTGTCATCCATAAATTTTCTGTGTAGAAACCTGTCTATATGGCTGCGAGTTGCACGCTGTCAGACAAGATGAAGCCGTGTTTTTTGGTGTTTCACATTTAGTGTATGGGATATACGAGCTTTTATTTTTGAGTGGATTCTGAACTAAAATTCTCGATATTCATATGACTGTAGTTAATTTTTTTGAAAGAATTTGTAATTGAATTAATTTTTTGGCTGACAGCAGGCCAAGAATCCCAAAAATACAGAGGCTTAAGGAAGACCAAGAAATTCAAAAAATCAAAAAGACGCAGAAAATTCAACTCTTAGAGTTCATTTGAACAAGTCAGTCGATAATTAATATTCCCCTTTCTAAAACGACAATTTCTGTAGCGGGGATCTAAGTGTATCAAAAATGATTGTTGGGCCACTTTTATCCTTTAATTTTATTTCTTTATATTATATTTTTAGAAGCTGCATGGGAATTAGTAATAACGAAGATCGTCGATTCCGGGCTTTTCCTTTAAAGCATTATTTTAAGATCTTAATATCACCTGGTATCAGGAGTAGCGGATAAGCGCATTCTCGTTACGATAAACAGGCCGCTAAGGTCTGTCCCAGTATACATAAACTTTTAAGATCTCATTCTTTTAAGAAGAACTCTTAATTCAAGTTTTATAAATGGTAATCCAACTTGCTGTTAATTCGCTTTCCTAATTGTTATAAATTGTGTCCCTTTTGTTGCATTTATTATTAACGTTATGGATGTGTTTATGAATGGTAATTGTTATTTTGTTCTCAGGCAGCATTAGCGCGTCGTCAACCTCAACTGCCATCAAATGCCGCTCCTCCACCACCCATTCCATCAAGCAATTCAAGCGAAAACAGCCGTTCGCTTGTAGTTTATGATAGTCTGCCCTTCTAGTTCTCAAAACTTTTTTCCAGCCTTCAAGGTACTCAAGTCACGCACCTCTACCTGCTCCGAGCCGTTTCGTCTTTCTAATGTTGCACGTACTACGATTACTGTTCTATTTTGGAATATTTGTCGTTTGATCGGTGTGTAACTTTGCTTCAAACAGTTATTTACGTTTGCATACTACGTGAGGAAGACAATGGTTAAAGGTCTCCAAATGTTAGAACAACTCTGCCTAAATATGCATTCGAATTCGACATCTCGCTGTCGATGAGGCTGAGCAAAACTAAAGGTTTGATTATTGATCATCTAACGTTAGCCAGTTGTTAATCAAAATTTATTTGTAAATTTTATTTGTCAAACAGGTTTGAACGACTAAAAGAAGCTATCTCTATGAAGCGTTGACAAACAAATATAAGTAACTAGTAATGAAGTTACTTCGGGTGATTTCTCTAGACTAAAGAACTATTTTAGGTATAATCAGCCCATAATAATGTATATAATAAATAGTGATATTATATAATACATTGTGAGCTCTGCACCGATTTATCTAATTTTTATCATTATAAATGTTGTCTGCTCTTTCACTTGAGCTTGAGTCCATTAAAACTATTACCAAGAGCCGCTGAAAAAAATATTGTTTATTTTTCTCGCTCAATTTTATAATTCCTGTAATTATTAATTTGATCAGTACATGAAGCCAAGTACAGAACAAAGCTAATCAGTGGCTTTCAAACAGACGAAACAGCATTCATGCAGACATTCACGTTGACACGCCTAAGATGGGTTTTCGCGTTCCAAGCCTGACACCAAAGCCTTCATGTGAATTACTTAATTTTGTCAATGATGTTTACAAAACAAAAAAAAGAAAATGTAAAAGAGTATTTTAAGATATTGGGTTGTCAAAAATTCCTGCAGATAAATGACCGCATTTGTGCGAAAACAAAAAGACCGCGACCGTCCATGAAATAATTTGTTATTATGTTGATTAAAATCCCAAAGTTTACACCAGTCTCATTTATTTAATTGTATGAATCATTTATTCGTATGCGCCTATATGGAACGAAAGCGAATCATATATGGGTGGAAAACTTCAGTTTATGAAATACAATATTCATTTCTATAGGTAAATATATAAAATCACGGGCATTCCATGCAGTACATACGTTAAACTTTGAGTTTAGCTTCACGTGAGCATAGTGAGTATAATTACTATTAAATATCAGTACATATACTTGATGCTATCTCAAAGGGTGCAAGATCATGTCCGGATCTACCTGCTATCGTCATTGACTTCGTCTTGATCACTCGTGTCGTCGCCTGCGTTCTTCTTGGTTCGATCGATAGATACGTTCTGAGATCGGGGAAGGCCAGCTTCTTTGAGTTTGTCAAGGAATGAGATAATCCGCTCTTGAATCTCGCTTAACGAACCCGTCGATATCCTGAAACACATCAGTGTGAGAATGTAATAGTACAGTTATTAATTATAAATTATTTTAATATCAGTAGGTTTATTAACCTTATCGCTTTTGTTTGCAAAACCCGTATTTTTAAATGTGTGCAAGAACTATGCACTATGCATTATAATCCATACCCTAGCCGTGCCCATGAATCAATGCTTCGTGCACTCCGTTTATTAAACGAAGAAAATTGCAAACATGTATGGGATAATCGATCTAAGACTATAGGAAGATAAAAGCAGATATCGCAGTGAAGTTTTTTGCATGGCTATGTTTACGTAATATAACCGTTAAGTAAAATTACAGTCAAAAGCCACTCACTATTCATTTTCAAAAAAAATTTAGTCTGAAATTTAACGTACTTGTTGTAACCGTAAGTCAAGCACTATTGGTAAAATCCAGCTATAGTGTCGTTTGAATACGTACGACGCAGAAAATCCAGTAGAATGAACTTTTGATTTGACAGCAGACAGGAAATCCTAAAAATTTAAGGATTCAGAAGTACAAGCTATTGTTGGGACTGATCTGGGCTACTCACTTCAAAAGACTGGAGAGAATTTGGATCTTCGCCCTAACTGCAAAAATAACGAACACTATCCTGCCATGATAACGTTATTGCTTTGTCTTTGAAGAACAGGTTTTTCCCTAAGAAGAGCGGATACACGCATGCCGCTACGGTGAACAGCCTGTCAAAGTTTGTCCAAAATCACATAACCATTCTGGCAATATAAAAGGAATCAAAAGTAGGCTTGCGCTAGAAAAAACAGATTTACAGCTAAAGAAGCGGTCCAGATAAATATGGCATTCGCTCTGCACACGTAAAAATGTAAAAGATAAAAAAAAGAGATGCAGTCTTGGGGGTTGTACGTTCGAGAAAAGGCTACTTGTTTAAAAAATTGCATTGATATGGATTTGTACTTCGTTAATTCTTCATCTTAGCGATCGATTACGACCATTGAGCAAAAACTTTGTTTTTGACAACAACCCGAAGAAAGGAATCTATGAAAGAGTGGTCTGGGTACTAAAGTGGGAAGGCTGTTAAACCTAGCGACCTTCAGAACGCGCTTATTACAAACTGCGTATACGGTCACAGAGCGTTGCACCAATGCCTCATTGCTAAAAGACTAACATGTAAGTTCTCGTAAAATAATTGCTAGGTGGTGAAGTAACAATGGCTTTTTAGCACGTAGTTTGAAATGAAAATTAGATCCTGCGTAAGTTGAAGCCACGTGGTTAGTGCATTCTTTTTCATGTGTAATTGTGTGTCGTTCCCGCATTATTTCCAGCACCTAGTTAATGAAACAGTACGGACGACAGCTCGAAGCTTCGTGTCATCTTTTCTTGCACGCAAATATCTATTAGCGTACCTATTCGCACCTATTTGGATTGCAAAAATTTCGGCCATTTTAAATCTACTACCTGTATATTTTATTTATGCGTTTAGTTTCAGAGTTGGGTGCGCTCGTTTATTAGACTGTTTTACCGTAAATAAATCAGAAGCGTATCGTAATGTTATTTAAAACGATTTTAGCAGTCTAGAGCTGAAGATCTCAATTAAATATACAAAACAATACTTCGGAAGCCAGAAGAAGTGGATGGATCTAAATGGCAACTTCTGCTTAGTCACTTTAGATGATTTTGTTAATTGCTGTACTGCCTAAGTAGACCGCATGCATTCAAATAAATGTTAAAGGCATGAATGTATATTCTACAAACTCAGTGAAAAGCCATTGCAAACGTCTTGAGTGTACACATAAATAATATGTATACTCTTTTTCTTCTACTTGCACGGTAGAAAAAAAAAGTCGTTTCTCTACAGGATCGCTGCGAAGTAAAAAAAGTGTTTTTTAAAAAAAACTTCGACCGACAATGGATAAATATACCAGAGAACCTTTAACATACTCTAAAACACAAACTGAAATACATTTTATTCAGTATGTGTTCCACTGCTATCCTATGATGGCAGAAGTAGCGCGTTTAGATTCGCTATATGAGCAAATGAGCTATCAGCTTAGTCTTCACGTCGGCTAACGTCATGAAAACTGTGAACTTCTTTTATTGAGCGAAATCGACAGCCTAGGCTAGTTTACATGCAATTAGGATAGTTTTCGTAGATCCGCAAATAACTACATTGAAAGAACTTAAAATAGCGCACGAAGGTAGCACACAACGACGTTTCTTATGATCTTGAAATTTTCTTAGCTCCTGGATTGAAACCGTAATCAGACGTAATAGCAGTTACTTTAAATGAGCATATATGGCTTGTTAAGCCTCTGGTTGAAGGAGACCACAAGCCGGTGCTTCAAGCCCCTCCGACGTCATATACTATATGAACTGTACGAATCAAGAAGATTGTTTATTAAATACACATGCTTGTGGAAAATGAAAAAATCCAGCTATTTGCTTATTTAGATGCAGCTTACAAACATGTATTTTGCCTCTACGTATATATATATATGATTTTTGCAGATGCAAGGTAGTCAACGGGTTCTTACATCGTAATCAAGGTTTTAGATTTTTCAACTGCTAGCGGCCATTCGGAAGGCCACAGCTCAAGGATCCTCTCTGCTTCTTCCTCATCGCTGGTCACAAACTTGAGTTCGCTACACACGTGAGTGTCGTACAGAAAAAAGACATTAGTAAATAACCTAAGCTTTAGGTGCCATTGATAAGCTGATTGATAAGAAAAATATTATAGTACATGCTGCTATCTGTGAAGTGGAAGATTATGTCAAACAGTATGCATAACAAAGAATAGTTATTTCTATCGGCAAGGCTACGCAGAAATATTCTTCGACTGATTTTACCAAAAATGAATGAAGACATTAACGAAACAAGCAGAACTTAGTAGACGCCATTTCAATTAAACTATTATATTATAGACTGCGTTACTCTCTCATGCAAGGAACGCGACAATACAACAATTAAGAACGAATGCTGTTCGTGGCATTGACAATTCAAATTATGGGAATCGTTCAATTCATTAACCTAAACAAGATTTTTTCGTTGAAACAAAGCTGAATAGTATATAGCCATGGAATATAGTAACGTCAATTAGTGAACGAACAATACGAAAGAGAGCGACCATAGAAATTATTATTCTTAATTTTAGTATCTGCACTGCAAGTTTGCTATGCGATGTCCACAGATTTTTTAAACTTGATGGCAGCACCTTTAAAGAATAGGGATTTTGTAGATGTTCTTTTCTAATACAGGTAACGAGTTTATACACTTGTGTCACACACAAACTGTATCTCAGGCTAACCAAAAAAAACAATCGTTCACATATTCTGTTTTTGGTCGACTAAATCATTATCAAGTGCTATGAAGTAGGCTTTAGTTTATGATCTGTGGGAAGTGTGATTTCACCAGAATTAACACAACTCACCTTTTAATTCTATCAGATTCGAGTACATTCTCGCGCGCCCTCTCTGACATTTCCCTTTTAAATTTGATCTTTGCAATTGAGATACCTAGACTTTGCCGCTCGATGGTTTTGTTCACTAAACTGGAACGTTTCTTATATAAGAGTTATAACAATATATGTTATGTAAATGCAGAAATCGTCGTTACTCTGATTATTATTCAGAGTCACGTGTATTTGTTTACAAACAGATTATAGGCGCCAACGCAGTTGTCGACCGCTAAGTGAACCCACTATCCATATCAAAATCTCAACTGCCTCTCAGTTCTGTAGCCACTTACTTCATGAATTCGTGATGATGTATAACTCATTTTTGGTGATCTAATATTAATTGAGCAGTGGCTTTACATTTACTTTTGAATTACAACTTATGCATGGCATAATAGTAGACGACAGTGATATGCTAACCGGAACCTAACATGTAGTTGGAATGATTTCCATTATGTCTTAGATGGTAGCAAATTATACGGGTGTTAGTACGTAATGTTTGATGTTCACCATAAAGGATATGTAACTTGTGAGTAGTTGACTGCCAGGAATTGTTAGCAGTCAACATACGCAGTATGAACAAACCATGGACAAGTTTGTAGTCCGAATCCCAAAAAAAACAGGCGATGATGCAAACGATGAGGCATTCCTTAAGAGGTCGTTGCAGGGAAAAAAAAAAAGTCGGCGTTCTCAGTTCCGACTTAAGGATCTTCAGGTACATTTAGTTAGGAGGTTTAGTTTACCAAAGATCTTATCTTTGTATATGAGTTACCGACATTGAACATTTAATTCAACTGGATGTGCTCCGGGTAATACTGGCCACACAGACTACAGTTTATAGATGAAAGTTTTTATTCTCCCAAGTTTAAGCCTTTTAAGTTTTATTCGTCGCTTAGGAGCTATGAGGTCGTACTAATTATTGGTATCAACGTATATCCTTTTTAATCAAAAGCATTTAGCTACAAAACACCCACTTAATGATTGCTTGCAAAACATATCAGGCGCAATAATGGAGAATCGAAGTTCTTGTGGAGTATCATGAACAGAAGCTGTTCTATATACTTAATTGTATGCACTGACAGGAAAGCACAGACTTATGTATCTTAAAAATAATTTGAATTATTACAGCTCTGAACTAACCAAAAATACGGTCAGATAGTAGCGTTTACATTGTACTTCTACATTGTTCTCGGACGCGTTATTAGTCCTTGTTAAATGACAACATTTTGATAGATGAGTAAGTAATGTTTTATTCTTAACGTGTCTTTCTAATCATATAATATTTCCCAGGGCGTTGTGATACTTGAAGATCTGGATGAAGCTAAGAAAATTCTTTCAAATCCGACAAGTAGTGACGAGCTTCTCGAAAAGACTCTGCGACAACTCGCCAAAAAAACCCCAGGTAAGCTTTTCATTTAATTCGGATAAACTGTTTACTATATTTTGAAAAAGAAATCTACATAGATTCAACTGAAATTCAGTTCATAAAGCTTTAGGGAAAAAGTGCATTATCTATTTTCGACTGTACGTAGTCTTTTCTGTGATCTTACGATTATATTTCGGATTTCTCATTGACAACATGTAGGACTTAAGCACAGTGCTCAAGGAATTAGCCATAAATTAGTCAGCATTGAAGAAAGATTCCGAAAACCAATTTACAAATACGCTTATTATTCCATTTAGGTATTTTTATCTTGTAATATAGTATGCCTAACAGCTGCTAGTTTTAGGTCGTGATATCCTGCTGAAGACTAGCGTTGGAAAACCCGTACGTCAGCTTCTTTCACACGAAAACCTTTCTGTACGAACTGCTGCCAAGCGCGTTTACGATCGTTGGAAGGAGCATATTCTAAATAAAGCAGCTTTGCAAAAACAGGAAGTTCGCTTCGATATCGAATCCCAAAGGTTGCGGGATATTGCAAAGAGGTAAACGAATAGATCAAAGTAATAATCTTTTAGCAGAATCTATAATAGCACGCATACAAGTACAAGCAATAATTCGTACATTGCAATGACTGTCGGAATTTTCGAAAGCCAGAATTAGCTTGCATGTAACAAAAATTTATAATCCTGTTACAACGGATTTTCTTCGGAGGTTTTTGAGAAGCGATCTAGTGACCGGTCATTTGCTACCGCTCTTTATGATAATATAAAATGTTTAAAAAGCATATAGTTGCAACAGTTACAACATAGACTATAGACATTGAAGTTATCTCGTTTGAATACAGACTTATTACCAGTCTAATTAGAGTTTGCCTTGTCATATCAAAACTGTAAAGTGCAAACATTTACTAGTATTCAATAACGACGTATTTTTCAGATGGTTTTCGGAAGCGTTGTCAACAACAATAGACGACACAGTTGTTATAGCTCTTGAACAAGAAGTTTTCGCCCAATGCAAGCGAATTCTGAATGCGCCCTACAGGTAACTCTTGGAGATACTATTTCTATGAATTTTTTTAGCTAATATGCTAGTTATTTGTTGTTGTTTTAAGGTAAATTAAAAACCTTTGACCGGATTTAAAAGTACTTAACGTTAGATGGTACATTAATATAAAGTGTTTAATTTTTTATTCTTTACGGTTAAATTCTTTCAGAAGGAGTTGTCGCCAAATAGCATATAAATTACGTACTGACGTTAATCTTCAAAATAAGCTTGTCTCTGGTAAGCTGACTGTTATCGAAGTGAGAGATTCCCACTTAATTTATTATTTTTTTATATATTTATTATAATATTGTTACTTATTTTATTATTTTTTTATATATTTATTACAATATTGTTACTTATTTTATTATTATTGCAGTGTCTTTCCATCTCTAAAAATATATAGCTCACGTATAATGCAGTTAGACTGTGAAATCAAACGTTTTATCCGTAGCTAAATAAGGTAAATATATGCATTCTGTAAAAAAAAAATGCATCAACATTGACCAGGTCATAGATAAAACACTTCAGTTGGACGGTTTATATAAGCGCGATACCTAAACCAATATTTTTACAAAATTTAGGTTAAAGCAATTGGCTATGCTGCTATTGTCACTCTGAGAAAAATACCAGCCAATTTTTGCCTTACAGGAAATATGACCGTGGAAGCGTTTGTAAGAAAGCACAAGTCGTCATAATGAATAGTTAGTCAGCTTAATGTAGATGAAAACGTCGATCTAGTTTAAGCAAATCTGTACACCATTACTGCATTGTAAAAACTGTGAGCGTTTTCTTACTGACAATAAGTAAGACGTAGTGGCTGAACAAACATCTAGGTCTAGTAGTCAACGATTTTGCAATAGTGGGTGTTTTAAGCCTTAGGTGTAGGTTTACCTCAGTGTTGACAAATGTGGGATTTAGTTCAACGTCAGCCAGGTGTCTAGGGTACTTACGCAAGACTTGCACTGTTTCTAATTCTTAATATTTCGGAGATATAAAAATCAAAATTAGTAAGAAAAAGTATTTAGTTCGTAACAGTTCAACTAACTAATTCATATGTTAACTTGTTTCTACGAGAAGTACAACGTATTGACTGTCTTTAATTAATGAAATGATGAATTTCATGATTTATATATAAAGACATTACCCAGATGCTTCAGTGGCCCAGATTTAGCTTTGGATATCCGTCCCGAAGCTAAAGTCGGAAACTAATTTTTTTCGGAATTCTAGCGGAGCCTGTATCAACTACAAACGTCTCTTCGACTGCGCTGTGTATAATAGGTTTACTCCAGACTGATCTATGATCGAGATACTAATCACACAAATGGAATTCAAGATTATAGACTTTGATGTATAGGTTCGATAGAAATTCACGAAAATGTTATTCAAATAGGCGCCAGTGGCTAATAGTTATTCCAAATATAAATATTCGAACCAATTGTGATAGACTGACAATAGATCCAAAACAAACTCAAAGATCTATTAATAAAAAAAGAATATCTTCATTATTACGAAGTCGGAAGGGCTCTATGCTAAATATAACCATCTGCTTTACTATGTAAGCAACACTGACCAAAGTAATCGAAAAACGTGCGAGTAAAAATCACAAGGGAGAGCAGAAAGCTTAGTAAGACTCTTCCACCTTATGCAGCTCCAATTTTTTTTTAGACAGACTCAGAACTTGTTATTTTATTGCCCCCAGAGCAAGCATAGCGTTTCGATGATCTTTAGCAATTTGAGTAATTAATGAAATTGACGGCCTGCAACTATTGTTCTATTCTGTTATCATACGACAGAGCTAGATGTAGTTTATGTAACACACCTGAGAGTAAATGACCTTAAGAGAGGAAGCTAAAAAAGAAAGCACAATTTGCTCAGTTGAATATTCTGAATATCCGTCAAATGTATGAATTCTCTTTACAATTTCCTTAGCAGTGTTCAAAAAGTAAGATGGATGGACAAAATGCGCATGGTTATCCTTAACAAAAATATTGATCATCTAAGCCTTTTGTCACGGAAGTAACTTATGGTCTTAACTTAAGGTGGTAACTTAAGGTCTGAATATTCGTAATACAAGCCTTGGATTATGATCACTTCTTAATAATGCAGTAGCATTTTCATGGCTTCATTGATAGGTTCAGTATACATAGATGAAAAAAGACATGACAGACATACTTCAACTATTTTCTTTATTGTTATTCTATCTGTTGTTATTTGTGTGCAGACAGTTCATTTGTTTCCTTAAATTGTGACAATTAGTGATGGTGATACATAGAGCTCGCCTTGCGGTTCCACTAGAATGAGCTTCTATTAGAAGTTCATTAACAGGCTCTTAGTCGAGAGGCTGTGCGAAGGACAGAAATAGGTCTGTGAAGGATAAGTGCTTTGATGAAGATGATTGAAAATTTGTTGATGGACAAGTTACGTACGTATTTCAAAAATGTTCCTTCCATGTGTAACTGTTCTATATGACCTTTTCGTATTTAAGAAATTGGTTTATTTTCTGATATTAGGTTTCACCGAATGAATTCAACAAATTGATTGGGATGACTTTGATGTTGGCTGACGTTTTTCATAATGGCAATTGATCGTTGACCTATTAGCGATAGTGACCTTCATGGCTGTGAGCGTCTTTTTGCAGTTTTATTAAGTCTCACATTCCTCTCTCCATTTTTTTAGTTTATCGTTCAGCGAAAAAATCGATAGCCTGTGGTTCTCCCTTCTGCTTAACAGTGGCCTTGGATCTCCAGGGACCAGGAGGGTAATGGGAAGATCAAACTGATGACCAGTTTGTATTGGTGTCAGAATCATACAATATCTATCGATGACGCTGCAAGCAATTTGAAATTGGCTACGTTTATGTGGGGTCATATGTGAAACCTGCGTTCATCGCACAGGGCATTTTTAAGGGGATCATAAAGGGAAGACATGATAATTTCGTTTGTCTCCTTAAACCAATCAGTCTTAGATAACCATTAAAATGTCTTTCTATTCCGTTTCGCACGTTAAATTCTACAACAGCCGCGTATAGGGCAATTGTGTTACTGTCTACGGGGCGTGCCATGGAAATAGTTTCGACGACTTTGAATGCATGAATACTATGTAAGTCCTAATAACATTGTATGGGACAATATAGTTCAATTGAGAAAAGCGCTGTTATGTTTCAAGAATTTCTTAATCCCTCCTTGTTTAACTTCCTTATTTTGTCTACCAGGACTCCGTTTTACGTTATGTCATAAATTTTCATAAATTTATATGGAAACCTATCGAATACGACGGTTTCATATAGAAGATGCGTTTCATATAGAACGTCCTTGATGTACTGACATCATAAACATTTGAATCCATCAAAGATGACTCAAACACGGGCCTCAAACATTAGTCGACTACACAGATAACGGGTGCTTAGTTTAGTTTAAAGCTCAAGTAAAAGACTCGGTCATCTTACGATTAACGACAGTGCCCATCTTTGTGGGGTCTATGCTAAAGCTTATTTCACCGAACTCCTGTAATGTTACTCGCAGTATCCGAGAGTTCAAGATGGATTTTGGTGTATTTACGTATTGATGCTTGCGATTTACACAAGTCTCGTTTGGTTGTGCATATATGCCCATATTAGTAGATACGTACTGACCGACAAACATCTCTGCCATTTGGTATTATTAATGTTTCTTTTTTAGACATCATATGCCTTTGTCGTGTAAGTTACTACATGATTTCAACGACTTGTTTACATCGGCTGCATATAAGCTGCGTTACCATTCGTATTGGCTTACTACCAGTTTGATATTATCCACTCCGGTGTTTCTCGATTATCCAAGTGCTGGTTTAAAACCCGCCAGTGACATATTCTACACGATAAATGGTAATTGAAATAAAATTATCCATTTTAGTGAGTATAATATTATCCGCTCCACTTGTCGACTTGCTTCTTATCTTAGATATATTAAAAGCTTCCTGCTACTACCGCTACGACAAATGCCTAAGCAGATCTTGTCGATTCAATCGATTATTTTCAATTTTCGTGTACTCACCTGGATATGGCAAAATGTCCGGCTTCATCGCCCGATTATCGCATTATCCGAAGCAATTCTCTTTGATGTTTGGTGGTAATTGGACTGGTGGTTTGCCAGTGACACTCGTGCACGTTATTCATGCAACCGTTTTAATTTCACACAGCCGATATAATTGCTCTCCTGCGCCTTGCTTACAGATAATAGCTATTTGATCTATGTATAGGACGCGGTTGTTGTGATATCGTGGCATTACAATATATAATAACAATAATAATATCGAACATAGTGTCTAATAAATCAGTGTTCAGTTAGCGAGATTTTTCTGTCGTGTTGTGAACAGCAGTTTTCAAGCACCAATAGCTGCTCACAGTAGAGCAAAATGTGGCAGCTAAATTAGACCTGTCCAACGGAACAACCGCCTCACTTTGAAGCGAGGTGCTGACGCTGCCAGGCTGAATACATAAAGAAAGTACAAAAAGAGGCTTGTTAGTTGAGCAAAAGTAGCTAACGGTAAGTATTGTGACATTAACACTGCTGTTATGATTCCGCTTCCGACAAGATATAATATGATTATAGTAGCAATGTAGTTGAAGCTAATATGGTTAATACAGTCGCTATGATAATTATAATTAGTATTGTTATTATTCTCCTTAAACGGTAGTAATAGTGAACGCTTATTAGTCTTAGCTGCAGGCGATCGTCAAGATTTAATTAGGATAAAAAAAAAAAGACAGACGATGCTTTTATTATTATGGAGACGAAGATAGTATACAAATGTATCGGCAACAGTTGCTGGTTGCTTTTTTGCAATAATTCTTTACGTAGTTATGGCTGTAGTAACTGTTGTTCATTATGCGGTGGTTGTGTTGTAAAGTTTGGAGCGTGATTGTTGTTATCATTATTATTGCATAGAGTTACCAAAAGTGACGGAACAGAGCGGTGCACGCCGGTACCGATATGAGTCTTCTCCATTTTAAAGTTGCTTTTCTACTTCCTAACTTTCCTAACCCAGCCTATTGACGAGTGTGGTCGCCATTCTAATCCTCATTATATTGTTAATGTGAGATTATTATGATTAGCATCACTTTCTAATTATTATCGCTTCATATTTGCAGTAGTCATTTGTGATAATCGCGTTATCAACTTTACAACAGGCTAAAATATCATTACCATAGTAATAATAATAATAATGAATGTTGTGACATACATGTGACGTACACTGTGGCTGGTGGTAATTAGTTGCAACTGGAACTACATCAACCGGTTCCCGGCGCGGAGTAAGAGCAGTGACTTAATTATTTTTATTACAGAGTAGTATTTAGTTGTATTAATAATAATAATAATGCTACTAATAATAGTAACAATAGTAATAATAGTCATAGTTGTAGTAGTAAAAGATTTACTTTGTGACAATGTGAGCGGGCTTTTCGTATCATTACTGTTCCTCTTCTATTTTGTCGGGCCGCGTATTAATTAATTGAATATTGATTAGCACAGCATCTTCCTCTCGCTTTCTCTCTTTCGCGTAGTATTTTTCCTCTTTCTATTTATTTTATCGCAATGGTATACAAAAGCTAGCACGACGAAACGTACAAATCTAATTAATCCAGTAGTACCAACTATATTATGTGAGTAATATATGCAGGTATTATCATGCAGGTTACGTTATTCACGAAGTTTATACGACGATTTCTCTATTCGTCGTAGTTGAGCGTTTCCGGAGTGAGTCAGTGAGTTAGTCAGTCAGTGTGTGAATATTAGTTAGATATAATGGTTAGTTAAATTCGCATCGGTTGGTTGAATCGTCGGCTTGCTGAATTAACTGGAGAACAGTTATGATTGTTTGACTGATCTTGATGGTTATTGATTATCATCCTTGATTGATTGCCTGATTACTTTATCGATTCACTGGTGCTCTCGATATATGAGCGTCCTCGGTAGCTTGGCGAGTTACATTGCTGTCGATGGATTCGGCTATGAAGGCCTGCCGTTTAGAAGTGTGAAAAAAAGGATAAAATGTCCGTTTAGGAGTTATCTTGGCAATGGGTCAGAAAAGGACGAACTGCATACACGGGTTTGCATTATATTGCATTGCATATCAAAATGAAATCATACCCTATAGTAAAATTAAATTGGGAATCGAATATAGACAACAATAAAAGACGATCGATGCATTAAGTCCGATCATTTTTTATCTTTTAGAACAAAAACGTATTAAAGAACCAAAAAATATAATGAAATTACCCCGTGAAATCAAGACTGTATCTTTAATTAAAACCACGACTGTGGAAAATTAATGTTTCTGTGTTATGGGACACGAGGTAGAGTCTCAGTTTCGTTTTCAAGAATATAATAATCACAGAAACGGCGGTACTGCATACGCGTGATGCGCTTAGATGGGAAAATTTTCGCAAATGCAAACGTGCAATGGTTTGGATGCATGGAAGAAACTTGTGGAAGGATAAGAGGCTTAAACAACAAACATTGGATTTTATGAAGGAATGACGAAGTCTTTTCTGTTTGGGTGCACACAACTACTGGATATAAGAATAGTATGCTGACGAATGTCTTACCGTTATGCTGGTGCTTCATTCGTGATAATATCAGAATATAATTTTATTCATCGAGTCAACGCGACTTTTCGATATCAAAACACTTGTCATAGTTTGGTTACAAAAATAGACCTCTTTCACATAGATGTTTTCCACGGGTTCTAAAATATCCTCATAGGTCCTCCTTGGTGGATGGCTGCGATGTCTCTCTTCTTTATGGAAAATTCTATTTCACAATTCACATAAAATTCAGGGCTTGACTGAATTATACGATCATAGAGAACTATAATTATGTAACGTGATTTCGACCTGTGTCAACTTTTGTTTTAGGATTAGATTCGTCTTATATTTAAGGTAATTAATTCTTATTGTGTTTAATTTATCATAAGGCCTAATTCGACATGGATTTGCATTAAGGCGGAAAGATATTTACACTATCCACTATAAGCCTAATGCATTGGCCTAGCATACCATTGATCCTTAAGCAACTGGTTGAACATATATTTGATATCGTTTTAACTTAATTGATACAAGATAGGTTCCAACATAAAATCTTCATTTATGACTTACAAAAGTGACTTTAACAATTTATATTGAATGTAACTTGTCTCTTTGATTAAAATAGCCGCTCGGTATTGGGTCAATAACATGAATACGATTGAAATTAATCGTTTCGGCTAGCTATGGACCGATATTTCGACACTGAAATTGAGACTAATTGGCAACAACATTGATTCAGTGAACTACCTATATATACGGTAGTTTCTACCCCAATACATCTTTTGAGGAACATCGTTGAACCGCAATATGACCTTCAGTTTATAAAATGATATGCGTTGCTCAGAGTATTATAGATTAAGTTGTCTAAAGACTTCAAATTTGCAAAACTAACTAATAGAACTCCTCTTATTATTATAATAAGCAGCGAAAAAAAACTGTCACCAGGTATGGATTTACATAATCTCAAATAAGATGCTTTCAAGGTTGCAATTCCATCTGCTTGGCTTTTCCAGCGCTTAATGTGGCTGAGCCGTTCGCTGCTAACAAGACCGTCAGGTAGAATAATTCCATGTTGAATTTAGGATGACGTCATAACGTAGAGTCAGCATGCGATCCTGCTTTGTAACGTTGTTGTTCTGTCATAACTCGCCCGAATGTATTTATAGATTCTTACATAACTCGAATGATATGCAACTTGCTACGTCGCTTAAAGAAATCAAGATGTGACATAGTCATAGAGGTTTTTGTCTCGTCGGATTGGTTTTCACTTGTCAGTGACGCGATTTGTTTGTTAATGTAAATGATAATGACGAGATGCTCGATGCCGATGAGAACCATTTTTCGTTGTCGATGAGGCACTTCGGCGAGACTTGAGGTAGGCTGATAGTGCCAAAGAGAATAATATGAATTTTGAATGAAGATTTTGACGATGACCGTTACGATCCATGCCTGTTTCAAATCAAGATGTAAAGCACGGTAATCAATTTTACTATGGTTAAAGAGTTTTAAAATGTTCTTCATAACCCAGAATTCCAGGGTATTTTCCTGAAGGAAAGGCAAATAACAGTAACAGGGTTCACTGCGGGGGGACCATTTTTAATCTAATATCTGCACATATATCTTGCTTCATTTAATGGCATAAAAACTGTTAATGCCTCAGTCAGGTTGCTATGATTAGGCAGAGAGAATAATAAATTGGATTAATTACTTTTTATTGTAGGCTCATATATTCTGAGGTAAAACATTAGTTTCGAGTAACAGTTGTTGATTAGAGCAGTAAATACGGCATCTGACAGCGTCCAAGTAAAGGACAGATTAATTGTTATATATCCGTGATATACCAACCAGTTGCAATATTTGAGTCGAGGCTGTTAAAGAGAAAAATATAACTCGTTAATAGAATTTCAGACCAGAAATATCCAAACAAATCTGAAGAGTTGATGCTTACTGTAAAAAAGATTTCGAGCTGCCCTCCGATGGTCCTGATTATGTCGATAGGGCAGCACTACTTACGTAAGGCTTGCCTCGTATCGTCGTCTGATCTGTGCTAACAATCTTCAGTTATATTCGCAGCAGGATGCTCTGAAAGGCGTAATAAACTATAGAAGACTAGCCAAAAGGAACGACTGTTTTCGGTGTGACTACTCGGAAGCTATCATCGTATTGAGCAACATGGAACCAATTCCCGAGCATAGGATATTCGTAATGCTCAGAGGACAATCGCTTCACATGAAAGCAAATACTCTTTGGCTCCAGATGTCTTAGATGATTACATATAAAAAGCTGCTATAGCTTGGGTTGCTAGTTATACTTACTTTTTTTCGGTTTTTGTGCTCCTCGTCTTCCAACAGCTTCACATCCAAAACTAACGTCATTGCACGTATCTTCATCATAAGCTTCAGCTGCTTGCATAGCATGACATCCCACAGCTACAACCAATTTGAAACGCAACCGAACGTACACAGTGCATATGTATGTATGTGGTAATTTTATTTTCTATTATTTCTCTAATATAAATTGGCTTACTGATTGCACATACAGTTTACACAAGATGAGATATTCGCGACTCACTGTAATGTTGTCCTTTTCGGAAAGCAGGAGTGCGAAACCGGGCAGCGAATCTTCAATAAAGTGTGTTCTAAATCATCCTCCGAATGGCAGAGGGCGTAGAGCTGTTTGTCTGCAAATTCAACATAAGCACAATATACCACAATATTTCGGAGCGATATGAAAGCGTCCGTTTATTCTTACGTATTAATTAAGAATTTCCTGACATGCAAACGAACACCTCCGTATGAAGGAATGTACACAAAAACGGGGAAGTTAAATGCCACCGAAAATAATTTTCGGAACGTGTTGCTATGTCAATGGGCTTAAGTTGAGTCTGTATTGTAAATCTCGGTTGTGCAGATTAGGAACCTGAATATCATATAGTACGGACATTTTGATAATAAAACTTTTGGGTATAATGATAAATAGCTTTGAAAACCTCATACCGGTCGATTGCACCCCATATGGCTGTTGCTCACGTCTAACGAAATAAAACCATTCTAATCTTGCTTTCTGTTTGTAAGGCCTCTGTTCCAAACATAATTTTACGATTATAAAATCAGCAACGTGTTTAGTGTATGTAGTGGTTGAATCTCAGCACTGTGTAGCACTGAGTAACTAAAATAGCAAAAAGAATTTAGAATTATTAGAGGTCCGTGCTCAATCATACAACACAACTTGATAAGACAATCAAAGAGGACGACTTAAAAAATGCTCCTACCGTTCTGTATGCATTTTCGTTTGCGCAGCTCATTGTGGACGACAAGATGCGAGTTAAGCCCTTCAACATCGTCACAGGTAGCTCGAAGTCTTATTACAAGCGAAGTTCCAGTGCTCGAGGCCACAACTAATTCTGCCCTTCGTTGTCGTCTTAACTGCTGACGATTTTTTAATTCTTCTAACACCAAGATATCGAGCGCAAGGCGCGAGTTATCTGGACTTTCTGTCATACTACGAGTGAAAAACATATTTTTCTATTATTACTAAAATATGTACCAACTCATGTTTGCAAAGGCAAAAATTAGTCTGAAAGTTCTTAAACGAACTTTAAACATACCTAAAGAAGATTGTTATTTTATTGAAGTCTGAACAGAACTTTAGATTGAGACTCTTGCTCGTTTTTGCGTACCATACACGTAGATTATTGGCTAAGACCGCTAAAGTCGCCATTAACGAATATATAATACATATTCGAGAATATGGTAAAAGTTAGCCAACATAAATAAAGGGCAAAGAACAACGAGAATCTTGAAGGTATTCACAAGTTTTCTTAATTCTCCACAGCAGATAGTTGACTGTTCGAAACTTCCAAATACAAACGTCTAAAAGTACCTAAACTTTTATTTTGTAATACATTCTAATTTAGTAGTAGACAGCGACATTCGATTCTTTAATTGCTTTGCATGTGCTAGTTCAGTAAATTCAGTCTTTTATGTAACTCGGTGCCCACTTTCATTTAATTTCATTTAAAAAGTTAAAGACTACATTAACATAACCAACGCATTCATACTTATTGACTATAAGATAGTATCATACATAATTTTAATATTTTATTAAAACTTTTTTAATAAAAAATATTTTCTTTAAATGAAAATTAATTCTGCACTAAGGTTTATTAAGATACATTTATCAGGACAACGTTTAACGAAGCACGACTAATGGGTAGATGGTAAGTTGTAACGATTATGTTCTTTTCTATTCTAATTCCTCATATGACTTATATATATACCATGGATAATTAACTGGAAGGATGTTGTTTGTAGAAGTCATCGTCTGTGTGAATGTAAGCCCTTGCATATCATCTACTGGGATATTTTAGCTAATAAAGTCACACCAAATTACGAATTTTCACTGATGCTAGGTACATCTTCTTGTGTATCATTGTTTCGATCAATGAAAACAGTGAACTACATTTTCACCTGATTTATAAATCCAGTACCAAAATATTTTGCTACAAAAATAATTTCAAATTAGCGATCAACTAAGCTGTAAAGTACAATATAACTTTCCTTCATTTATATCGAGTATCCTTTGCTGTAAGGCTAAACAACTAAGACGCTTACCATAACCACGCAAATACCATAATTCATTTATATCGAACATCTATTGACCAAACTTATATATAATGAGTCACAGCGGAGACATAGCGCGCGTTTTTGATCTTAGCTACATCCTATTCGTCGACTCGGTCGCCGCCATGATTCGCGAGTCATCATCGTCAGAAAAACACGATTTGGCTGATACCGTTTTATTGTGGGGGGCAATCTATGCGATCGTCTCCTATGAATAAGCCGTATATTGCACGGCTATACAACGTCGCAGTTTATTCCAGTTGAGAAATTTGCCAGCTATTTTTTTCTTGTGCAAAAAATATAAAACATAATTAATGTACAACACCGTTGCACTGCGCACTCTCTTCGAAGGACATCTACCAGAAATGTCCAGTCCTATTTTGTCTGTCAGTATTAGGGCAAATTTTGGGCGACGGTGATGAAGCGGGCGATCGAACGTGACTCCACACACGGAACGGTGTGCGACCACTATGACGACGAGCAAGTCGGACCATGATGTTTTTTTACGAATTCACCATAGAAGGTTTACGAGCATAATTCCAAGAAAGGACTCACTTGGAAAGCGGGCATTCTTCCTTCACCTCCATGTCCGAAACGGGTTCATGAAAAACTCTGGCACCACGAATTACACCCATGCTGATTTCCCTACACGGGACCAGTGACAAGTTAGGGATCGATTGCAATAGAGAATACGGAATACAGCTGTACACCAAGTGAAAAGTCCTTTTTGAGGGTCAAGGCAAGAGTTGAGCGCTATTCATCAACGACTCATTACTATGCAAAGAGCTCCATTTAGGAGCTCCTGGCAACTTATAACTCCTGGCGTAGGGTTATGCTAAAAAGGGGTCTAGTTTTAGCGGAAGCTGTACCAAAGGCTACAGCTAAAACTGGAAACAGTGGTTGTCTATTAACCTAGCTAGGGCACAAGTTGGGTATTGCTCATGGAAAGCTCGCATCGCAGCGAAGAGCACCATCAGTCACAAGAGAATGGACCATTAGGCGGACAGACGGGTCCAGGCGGCCAAACAACAAATGCATTTGTTGTCGCCGAGCGCCATCTGGCGGTGCTCGTCAAACACTGCGCTCTAGGAGGGATTTTTGTATCGCATATAGCGCACAAAGGCAGCTATCATTATCATTAGACAATTGTGAATTGGTCGTGAATAAACCGAGTATAGTACTTGGCTGTGGATGTAAATCTTCATTAAAAAAACTTTCCAACGAGCTTAGATAAGCGAAGTAGGATTTTTTGATAGAATCCATATGAACTTTCGGCTTAAATTTTCTTCTGTATTCAAATGATTGCCTGCGTATATTAAAGTTTTAGACTCTTTAGAAAAACTAATCTGCGGGTATAATGTTTTAATAAACGGTGAAACGGTGAATTTAAGTGCATTCAGTTTCATCAAGTCTTAAAAGTGAAAAGCGATGCTTGCCATAGTTTTCATTAGAGTTTAGGTTAGATAATCATATTCGTAATGAAACTAATAAGACTCTTTTCCCTATTTTTGAAACGCAAATTTTTGCTTATATTAGAAGCTTGCAAAAATGTTTCATCTTCCAGAATAGTATTAGGCGCACCCTCATCTAAAATGTATTCTAGCAGATTGTTTGTGAGAAACAAGCAAATGCTTACAAAACGATTAACGACATGTTCAGAATTTATTTTATGTTCCGTATATTATGTCCACTCCCGACCAACCTGTTTGGTCTCTCTAAAGGAAGCTACAATTAATTACTTTCTAATCGTTCTTTTAGAGGCACTTTACATTTATTGCTTTAACGTTCACTGTACAGGCTTCCTAAAGAAATTGTGATTTTCAATCACATGGCTTGGTAGGCTCCGCCATGCCGTTACTAAGTGTTAACGACTCATCAATATTTTCTGTGCCTTTGACGTTGTAAGGTATCCAGCCTGACGGTTTGTTTGGCCAGAAAACGATTACAGTCATTTAGGCTGATTGCCCCACTTCCAATAGAAAAATTCGGCGGCTTTCTACCGTTCCAACAACTGCCAGTACGCTATAACTTTACGCGAAATTAATCATGATCCGATCAATATGGAAAGAGAGGAAAACACAAACCATCGTAGAAAAGCCATATGGTATTCAGTCTTAAGTTACTTTCTCACCACGACTACTTCTTCATGCCTTTAACGAAATCGTTTACCGTAAGAAATATGATAATGATTATGAATGTTATTACGAGCTTGGCTAGTCATCTACCAAGAAAATTTTAGTAACGTTGAGTCATTATCTTACACTTTTATCTGGTCTCTGATCCGTAAACATACATTGTAAGGAATTCAATATTTTTTTTGCAATCGGCTATTTTCGCATGGAGTGTTGAATCATTGTTGACAAAAAATAGTAGCTGACTGATTTACGTTCTTTCGATAAATATTTCCTTTCCGAAAATGAGAAATAAACTTCACCTTTTTGTTGCGCGCACAACTTTAGCAGTATCCCTTGCAACTTCTTCGCTCTGTTTTTTTTTTTTAGTTTTTTTTTTAGAGTTTTTTTTTTAGAGTTTCGTGAGGGATGGTCGTTCTGTTTAGAAGTGTGATGACATCAAAGCGAGGCTGTTATGTTGTACTACCTCAATTATTAGGTAAACAAATACAAATGGTGGGATGCAACACAAGCTGTGAGCGCTTTCTTTGAAAAGATAATATTTCGCAGCAACGTATAATATCCATTCATTACAGATAATAAAAAACATGTCATGTTTTCATTTTACTATCGTTAGGGTATAAGCGTTTCCATTCAAGATGTACTTCTTTAATCAGCAGCTTTAGCAAGGACCTCGCTTCTAGAACCTATGAACTATCTATGAGCTTCTAGAAAGTGCATTTCTTAAAAGTGCAGCACAGCGCGCTTAGTTGAATCTGAAATCAAGACTACGGTTTGCGATTAGGCCGCTAAATTTCATCAAAAATTAATAAGAAGACGAGTTTTGTATCTGCGACTCTGCTTTTGGTTTAAAGCAGTAGCTAAAGGCAACAAAGAGTCTATTTGATTGAAACAGGATACGTCTTTGTTAAAGCCTATACATTCAATTCGGATTACGGAATCATATATTTTAATAATTTTGTGAAAGTTGACCATTGTAACTGCCATAAAACAAGACGCCATTATATTTTTGAAAATAAGAAATCAGGATGGATAACTAAAACTATGCCAACACTGAAAAAAATTAGTAATGATTTAGCGGGTTACTTATGATTATTCTGTATATTTTTGTAAAGTTTGCGGGAAGGCATTACTCAGTGTTTGCAAATCAAACAGATCGATATCTGGGCAATTTAATTGCATACCAAACAACAGATGTTATTTGTTAAGTCAAAGCTATTATATTTGGTTAAAAAACTCATTATATATTGTGTAAGTGTATATAAACAGTTTTGTGTAAGTGAAGGCCGCTCGTTGTCCTGCTCCGGTTCTTCCTGATTTTCGACTTGTCGTGGTGAGGACGGCTGAGAGTCAGTTATATAAAAGTTTTAGTAAATTCCACATCCTTAAGATTATTACAGATTGTCAAAAATGTTTCGTAAAAATGCAATTTAACTGTCTGAGCTGGAGCTAAGGCTTATAGTTTAGATAAAACAACGTTAACAAGCTTACGAAGAGCAAAGAATGTGTTTCAGAACGACACATTTTAGTTAGTCAATAGGACACAACAAACTGTGAAAAAAAAAAGTGATCTCAAACCGCAAAAACTTACACAAATAAACTGTATGTAATTTGATCAAACGGGCTGCTGCTTTACTTAATTCGAATCGAAGCCCTTATCCCGCTATAACTAATTGTTTGGCCTTCCATGCAACCTGCTGAGGTTGAGTGAGTGCAAGCTTGGAAAAGATGCAGTCAAAAGCTGTAGCACCATCCTCCAGGTTATATCGACTGCGGTAACGGCAGCGTCGGTGTTATTCAGCGGTCCTACTACACAAAACAACTTAATGCGGGCATAGCGTAAGCACAATAAATGAAAAGAGTGCAGAGTTATGACAAGGAATAAACGATTTCAGCGAAAAGATAGTAGTAGTGCTGAAAGAAGTCGCAATTTTGTGCCGAGGACTTCATCTAGAGACTACCGCGAATTCAACTCTCTATCGAGTGTCAAAATATTTGATCTATTCATGCAATGAGGTATATTCAGCCGTAATGGACCATACTTTACTGTTTTTTAGAGCGTGGACATGACCGAGAGAATAATGATAACAATAATAATTTTGTTTGTGTTTTCAATAAAGTTGAGTGCGAGGACGCTAATATGCAACCGAAAGCCACGTAGTGTGGGACGTTCTCTAGTACTAGGGACGCTTAAGTTGGACGATGAAGCTTTGGTAACTACATTGGCATAACCTGAAAACGTCTATTCTTTCTCGCCGGCATCCGTCACAGTGGCCCGCCGCTTTGAATACCTTTAAGACCGTTGTTTAGCATACCCGCGGATTTAAGCTACGTTTTGATCTGCGCTGGGGTTTTGACGCAGTCCTTTATTCACCACTTAGGGACGTGCTAGTAAACGTCCAGCAAACCTGGTCTTTGCGCCGTTCAGGCATCCCGCCTTATTCGTCGATGGAGCCCTCCGAGGTGACTGGCAACCTATAGTCAATAAACATTCTCCAGATCTATTCGAAATAAGGCGCAGTAGTTAGTATGGAGCAAAACTAAATAGCTGCGATCCTTTCGATTCCGCAAATCACAAAAGACGTGAGTACGATTAGCACAACGAAACATCAGGATAAAGTGACGCATTTTTTTTTAGCTAGGAATAAGAGAGATCGATACTATAGACATTAAAGAAGTCACCCATAAAGTACAACCTTTCCAATAAGGATAATCTTTGAAGGGACAAAAGCATATATTATTTATAGATTTGAGCCATGAAGGACAAGAAGTAATAAATTGGAATGGAAAAACTATGTGTTAGGCCCACAGAGTCTCGAGCAGCTCCCTTCCATTTTCGTTTTTTCGGCTTGTAACTGTTAGTACTCTAAAGAACACATGGAATTCCTTTACGTGTATTGTACAATGACGGCTATTTGAACTGTGAAATAAAGGCAACACTCAGGACATCAACGGTAGGTCGTTTTTCCAAAAAGTCCAGTTCAATAAATTAATCTATTGCTAGCATGAAGAACGTATATAACAGCTCTATAAAGATCTGTAAAAGTGGCTTTAGAGCTAAGGACAGTACATGGAAATTTATCTAGGATAGATCGTTTTTCAACACAATCGGAAGGTTTCGCCTATCATGAATGTTTCAGCGTGAAAAAAAAAAATGCTAGAAACCGAATACGGTGGGTTTTTCGTTTTTGTAGTACTGAAATAATTTTTTTTACACTTAAGTTTTCGCTACAAAACTAAATAGCCGCTTTAGAGAGAATGTCGGTAGCGATTTCGATCGCTCAAGTAAGCTGCAATGGTGAATTTTCTTACGCTTTTGCCGTTTTAGGGCCTCGTATTTTTGAAATTTTTAGTTTCCTGTGAGCCCAAAATTCACTTCCGTTTGATTTCTATGTATGTAGCATATTTAAATTTTAAATGAGTTTAATTTTTAATGGTTTCATGCCTATTAATAGAGCTTGGTGTACGGTTATTAGTAAAAAGCTATTATTTTTCATAATACTCTACAGATCGATAATTCACTTCTGCATGTCCTATATAGCGACGAATAACCTGAAGTAAATTTGATTTTCAAGGAACTTTAACCGATAGCAGAATAAAAGCAACTTTGTGTATGTGCCATCGGTGGTGACCTGACAAAACTAGCACAGAGCTTGTTAGATTACCTCGGTATTACGATAGCACCTATAAATAGGCAACGAAAGATTTGATTTATCAAATCAACTACCGTCTAGATCGTGTATCCTTGTAATAAAATCCTAGAGTTACATCTATTGCGTAATAGCGCGTCCAGTTCGGCAAATAGCCGTTAGCTCCGTCTTGTCCAACCTAGGTTTCTACAGACATGGCATTGATTGCAA